TCCCCCCCGCCCTTGCAGATTCGCAGATGCTGCCGGCCTTCCGTCCAAGGAAAACAGAAAATACCGGACATTTTACGTATCCAGTATCCTCTGGGGTTTTTTTTTTAACCAGATGGAAGACCAAAATACTGAACTGTCCGGGCAAAAACCAGACACCTCGCAACCCTTGGCAGGAGAAAGGTGCTAACTGGGGGTACACCCACCCTGTCCAGTACTGTCCTGTCCCTGAGTGTCCCACCCTCCACATGCCCTTTAGGGAGAACAGGGGAGGGGGGCTAAAGTACCCTCCTTCCCAGATTCAAATGGGAACTTATGCTGGCTGTTCCCCTTCATCAGGGAGTGTGGGGAAAGTGCTCTGTTTGCTACACTCTTCACTTTTAGGAGCGCAGAGGGCTAACAAGTGCCCTTTGTTCTCATTCCCTGACAGTGATAGGAAGGGGAAGAGCAACCAGCCCTGTTATAAATCTTAGGGAGGGTGGGGAAAGTGCTCTGTGCCCCACACCTCTACCCCCTATCCTGAGCCACTCCTTATGGACCTGAACAAATGTGCTGATATACAGGCAGTCCCCGGGTTACGTACAAGATAGGGACTGTAGGTTTGTTCTTAAGTTGAATCTGTATGTAAGTCGGAACTGGCGTCCAGATTCAGCCACTGCTGAAACTGATCAGTTTCAACAGCGGCTGAATCTGGACGAAAGCCGCAGAGCACGCGGGCAGCGGACAGCCCAGACGCAAAGCAGAGCAAAGCAGAGCAAAGCCGCAGAGCACGCGGGCAGCGGACAGCCCAGACGCAAAGCAGAGCAAAGCAGAGCAAAGCCGCAGAGCACGCGGGCAGCGGACAGCCCAGACGCAAAGCAGAGCAAAGCAGAGCAAAGCCGCAGAGCACGCGGGCAGCGGACAGCCCAGACGCAAAGCAGAGCAAAGCAGAGCAAAGCCGCAGAGCACGCGGGCAGCGGACAGCCCAGACGCAAAGCAGAGCAAAGCAGAGCAAAGCCGCAGAGCACGCGGGCAGCGGACAGCCCAGACGCAAAGCAGAGCAAAGCAGAGCAAAGCCGCAGAGCACGCGGGCAGCGGACAGCCCAGACGCAAAGCAGAGCAAAGCAGAGCAAAGCCGCAGAGCACGCGGGCAGCGGACAGCCCAGACGCAAAGCAGAGCAAAGCAGAGCAAAGCCGCAGAGCACGCGGGCAGCGGACAGCCCAGACGCAAAGCAGAGCAAAGCAGAGCAAAGCCGCAGAGCACGCGGGCAGCGGACAGCCCAGACGCAAAGCAGAGCAAAGCAGAGCAAAGCCGCAGAGCACGCGGGCAGCGGACAGCCCAGACGCAAAGCAGAGCAAAGCCGCAGAGCACGCGGGCAGCGGACATCCCAGACGCGTCTGGGCTGTCCGCTGCCCGCGTGCTCCACCGCTTTGCTTCCTCTCCCTGGTCTGCTGGAGACCAGGGAGACGGGCCCCGTTCGTAACTGCGGATCCGACATAAGTCAGATCCGCGTAACTCGGGGACTGCCTGTATTATAAAAATATCCAAAACCACTCCACTCTGCTAACAGTTCTCCATTGAAGGAAAGGAAAGAGAACAAGCACAAGTCATGACGCTTAATGCACTAATGGAGGGCACTCAGAGAAGATGGTGAGCGTGGTATAAGAATCCCTATAGAGTAAGGTTGTAAGAACGTAGCTGTTTAAATGGGTAACCAATAAGCATGAGGTTATCAGTTACCTAAATGGTTACATGTGGCTCTCAGCTGCCACCCTGCACTGCTACCTCTGCCCTGGACTGCTGCCTCCTTAATAGCTGGCTTCCAGTGCACACCATCTCCTGGGGAACTGGCTGCCACCCCGCATATAACTGCTGAAATTTTCAGCAGTTACACAGATTGCAAATTACACGCCTTTAAACATCCCTAATACAGAATAGTCTAAAAGATGTGATTATACGGCTTCTATTGGAAATCAGGGCTCCATTGTAACTACAAATTTGCTGCTGAAGAGTACTACCCTAATGAGCGTCATTTGTAATCATCTGTACTTCAAAGAAGACAGGTTAACCATTTTTCCTTTACAGAAAAAAAAAAGTGTTCCATTCTACAATGAAGCCATAGCTACAAATAGAGCCTACAATTTTTAGACAAACCATTGAAGTCTGCAAAGATCAGAACAGAATCTTGGTTCTTAAGCACCAGAAAAAAAAAAAGTCTGCTACGAATGAGCTAAAAGAAAGCTTTTTAAAATGGTCATGTAGAGGTGGAACGTTAACATTTTCTTTAAGCTACAATCATCCATCTGAGGGCAAAGCACTCAAACAATATCCATTACAACAAACATTAATAACTGTGCTGAACTTCTTTGGAAGAAAATTTAATCATTCAGAAAGTTTGAAGGGTAATTTTTGAGAAACAGACACACTAGGAAACAAGTGAAGGTTTGAAGTCAGCATAATTTCTTTTATAATAAGCTACATAATAACCTATATCTTAAAGAAAAGAAATACAATGACCAGCTTTATTCAACCTTCACAGAAAAGACCTCTTTGCTCTTTAAAGCAAATGTGGCAGTTTTCAGCTCAAATAAATTATAATAGCCAAAGTTACAGGGAGCTAAAATAAAGCATATAATAGAAATGTTTCCAACCTTCATCCCTCATAATACAGTGACCACTCAAGCAGCAAATGATAAAGCTGCCATATACCTCACACCTGATCTGGCAGTGCCTAATTGCTTTGTAAATGTGCAAGTACAAGAGATGAAGACAGGCAGATGTGCAAGCATGCTGTCTCCTCAAGAACTAGAGCGGAATATATCCACAACTTTTGTCAAGGATAGTACTGCCACCAATACTAGCATGTCCAAAAGCTATAAGTGAATCCTTAAAATACTGGAGGCTGATCCTGAGCTCATATCAGTAATCTTCACTGAAGTCATCTGGGTCTATGTGCATGATTTAGGAACTGCCTTAGTGAGGATCAGACCTCGATTCTGTCAAAGTATCACATTTAAATGCAAGCCTTTAATAGATTAGCCTGGCAGCACCCTGCGGGACAAATCTGTGAATTGGATCAGCAGCAGAAAAATAAAAAAAGCATCAAAGAGACTGGGTTTTGTTATGGACTTCAAAGTCTGTTTAAAAACCCAGACTTGATAAAAACAATGTCTTAATTTTATCTTTTAAGTTTTCAGTTGTGTCACATGATCCTCTTTCAATTTAAATATCTGTCAACTTTACATTTTGGTAGAAAAATAAAATCCAGTGTATTTAATGGATGATAATTGTCAGTGCTTATAAAAGCCAAGCACATTGGAGCATAATATGGACACAACCAGCTAACCAGATGATATCCAAACTTCCAAATAATGGATCTCAAAATCCCAGTCCATATCTTTACCTACGGCCAGTTTTGGAGAAAGACTGACAAATGCTAAATAATATAATTGTTTGGTAATATGGACAAATATTCACTAACAATTGGGATGAAATCAGACTGGTTTACACTGTTGACCCAAATAGTATTTTAATTTGTTCCATCACCTAAACACATGCTCCCTATCAGCCCTTTTGGGGCCCAATCTTCTCAAGTGCCCACTGAAGTCACAATAGGAGTTGAGTGTGTTTAATATTTTTTTAAATGTTTTTAACATTTGTAGGATAGTCCCAGGTTTATTTGTTTTGCTAACTGATGGTGCATCTTCTCTTTATAGCCATTACATTTTCCAGATTTTTTTTTTTTACTGGGCTCGCTCTACCCCAAGCCACCTTCCCCTATTTTTTTTTCTTGCTGAAAGCTTAATGTACTAGCAAATATGCCATACATTGGTCAAAGTGACCAAAGTTCTTTCTATATTTTGAAAGAGCACATGCACACCTTCACTTTGCTCCCTTTTAAATCCTAAACTAACCTGAAACATTTGCAGGCAATAAGTGATTGAGGGCTGATCTGAAAAAGGGAGTGTTTTCTTGGAATTTATTTATGAGACTTACTGAACACTACAGACATCAGTGATTGGGCATGACTTTGAGCCATTGCCCTCCCAGGCTAAGACAGGGCATCAGCTTAAAAGAAGTTTTAAGTACTAACAAACAGAGTCAAAGTAATGCATCTGGGGAATGCCTCCCCTTTTAGTTTGGTTGCTTTTATCCTCCTGTCTAGGGAGGAATTAAGAGCTTCCCTTTCAAGCATGTTAAACAAAGCCCTCTTCTGTCTATGTCTGGTTAAAGTTAAAAATCCCATAGCATACCACATATATAAACAGTAGGGGGAATAGCTTTGACATTCTGGTCAGTACTTTTCCTCCATAAAATTAGTTGCTATCAAAAGGTCCTGTTTGCTATTCACAGGCCCCTGATGGCAGCTGTTTGTAGGAAAATCACAGTAAGAACCTGCAACTAATGAAACACTTCCTGCAGCACCATTTACCCACTATTATCGGCGGGCTTGGGGGTGTGCAAATGGACACAGAGCACCTGCCCAGCTGCAGCTTACCATTGCTGCTTCTCTCAGCCCCATCTAGCATTATTATTTATTGCTTATACGGCAGGAGGTCCAGAATAAAAGAACAGGCCTGCTTAAAAGCTGACCACAGCCAGCGCACAACCGGCAGCGCAGCTGACTACGCGGGGAGAAACTTCAGCCCTGCCACGGAGCATGAATCGCGTCGCCAGACTCCTTACACGCCCCCTGCCTGCTCCTGGCATCAGTCCGCGGCCAGACACGGCCGCCCTGCAACAAGTGGTGCAGCCTCTTAGGACAAGGAGGCGCGGGAGGGGAGCAAGGGCAGTTCCGCCCAAGTTGCGCTGGGCGCAGCCGCCGCGCAAACCAAGCCGGGGCGGTGCTGGGTGCACATGCCCCAGGGGAGTTTCCCTATTTACCTCTCCCGCCCCCTCCAATCCCGCGTGCAACAAACAGCGCGTGCCAAGCGAGCCCGGCACCCGCATGAGCCAGCCTCCCCCCGCGGCAGCCACCAATGCACCCACGCAACCTCCCAGCCGCGCGTGCTCAATACTTCACCGTCTGTCACTGTCACGTCCGCCTCCTCCTCGCCCGGCTGCAGCGCCAGCTGGAGCGCGCGCCGGCTGGGGCTGGCGGGCCGCAG